TTTAGCCCTTGAATATCTAACTTATGTCCCTGTAAAGTTGTTTAACAACCTCATATTAAGTATGAATGGTGTAATAATCATGCAATAATAATCTTTTAGCTTATTAATCTTTGTTATAGATTAAGAAATTCGCTCAATATTCTGCTGAATAAAGTGGAATTTTAATCTCTAATTAAACAAATTTATGCGTAAGATATTTTATATTACAAGGTTCTCGATGCCAAGAAAACTTATTGATGTGCAATTTGTGGTATCGATTTGATTCCAATACTGCCCAAGAACGATTTCCTCGTCGGTAACGTTGAGTTTACATAACCGAGATGCTTCTCCTACTCATGATAAAGTAGGAAGTTCATCAGTTTTATTATAATTAGCAGGTTATTAATTAATTTAATAAAATATCGGTAATAAGCTTCCTGCTCAGGTATTATACTTTACTATTGCCGTAATAATCAATAATAAAGCAGTATCACAACCTGCAGCGTTTACTGGACATTTTGATTTCGCTGTACTATTTTTTGCCGTTTTCACCCATCTCATATTAGATGCGATTTCACTTAGACAATATCCTACCGTCCTGTTATCTAAATGATATTTTATAGATATAAAATATATTACATTAAAAAATAAAATGTTAAATGTACATGCAGATACATGATAATAACAAAGCAACAATGGTTTAGTTGCAAATTTATGTACGAGTTTATTATAATTTGCTTAAGATTATAAAGTCATGTTGTAATCTGACCGTAAACAGAAACCAAAGCTTTAGTCGTTAAATTAATGCCAAGAGCGTTGCTGAAACGGCAGCTGTAACTTCCTTTATCAGCATTACCAATATTATTGATCGCTAAGGTACTCTTACCATTAATGGTAGTAATACCATGTTGATAAGCTTGATTAATATTCGTATTATTAATAAGCCATTGAACTTTGGGAATAGGGTCTCCGTTAGCTTGACATTGCAATGTTATGTTGTCACCTGCTATGGCAGATATACTCCGAGGCATGACCGTAATATGTGTAACAACTAATAGAAAAGAATTTTTTTAATACATGTTTAAAAAAAATACTTGAAATTGCTATCATCATCTTTATATTTCACAATTGAAAAAATAGACGAACAATTATTCGAAAACATTAATATCCTGCATACCTCCGTAATCTGTCGCAAGCGTGACT